AACAACTTTTATACAACGAAAGGAGACTGCGACCACACAAAAGGCCACACCATCTTGGTCTTCATATCTTTCATCAGTTATTTTAGAAAAAATTCAAACGAAGGTTTTATTGAAGCCTTCTGGACTAGGTCACGAGGTCCCCTGCCACTCATTGGCTTCTAACTGATAGGATTAGGCGATAAAATTAATGCTGGCATGATAAGGAGACATGTAGTTTAAGCGAAATATGATAGGGACGTTTCTAAGCAGTGCTTTGACTATCTATTGAGACTTGACTCAACTTTTCAATGATGGTCCGTGTATCGTAACCTTCCATATATTTCTTTGTCTGTATACTTCAGCATTCCAGCGACAATATGTAAATCTGGGGAAAGAACATCTTTATACCATTGAAGCAGGAATAGGAGATCTGCATATCTAGCAGTTAATCTATTCGATTAATCGTATTTGGTACGCCTCCATATTCATACATTCCGTAATTCATATTTTATTAAACTTTTTATTTCTTGTCTAGGAATCGCGCCTTGGCACCAACCTTCGCTCGAAAGTGGAGCTTCAGCGTCGCTCGGCCGCAGAGGCGCATTCTCACGTTGTGGAAGTGACTCGGCGGGCAGAGTCAGCTGAATCTGAGCTTGCACGTGTTAAGGATGAACTTGCAGCCAGTCATCGCGAGAAGCAGGTTTGTATATTGATGCGTGAAAGCCTACGTATATTTATGCATCTCTATTCATATTAGCTCGCCTGTTCAATAAGCTTTCAGAGAATATATACTAAAGGGCATGACTCCATTTCGAAGGGAAAGTTAGTTGGAAAAAATTCCTGATGTGATCTCATCTGAAACCTAAGCAGGATTGCCGCGTAGGAAAAACTGTTAAATTGTGCGAATAAGTCCACGGCTCACCGTCCTGCGACCCCGATGAAACTGTGCTAGACTTTCGTCTATACATTAATAGACATCCTCAGAGCAAGATTTTATACTTAACGAAATAGAGCAAAAATTTACTAAACCTAGAGAAAGGTGGCTGGCTGCAAACCTAGTTTTTTTTATACACCTAACATCGCAATCTTAATGAGACATCTTATGATTTAGTTGGCTACTT